CAACATAATATCTCTGCTACAAGACGTAGAAAATTAGTAACAGTTCGGCCAATGTTTGCTGGTCTTTTTGAATCTATTTGTATTAGTACTCTCAATTTCTTCAGATTTAGTCTCAGTCTCGGATTGATGAGTCTCATCGCCACCAGCACCCTCTTTGCATTTTTTATAATAGCAGCGATGGCGTCCACTGCATCCTCCTTTATGCCATCCGTCTACTCGCACGCCACTCTCGAAAATTTTTTAAGATTTAGCAGCGTTAGCGTAACAAGTACTTGCAATGAAAATCTACATAAAGGGTTAGGTTTCTCGAAAATGGAAACGCAAACTAAACATGAATCCACGACACTCAGAAACATTGTGTTTCATTAAAAATAGGATAAGCTGTGGAAATGTTGCATAAAAAACTGTAGTTCTTTATTAAAATTTTAATATTTAATTTGAAAAGAATGTTTAATATTAATCCAAACTCAAATCGCTTCTTGTTTTATTGTAGTACATGATTTAAAGCCAGAGATTACTAAATTTTTAGTTTGAAGCAGATAAAAAACAATACTTGGTATGTTATGTCACCGATACTTAGTAGATCATTTCTCTACTTAATAAACATTAGTTAACATAACGAGACAATATAATGAACAAGATCTTGACTTGTTTATGTTTTTTAATATTGTTCTCTTCTATCCAATAGACACACAATGTTAAACTATTTCTATGGATATGTATGAACATGTAGTAGTAACACAAAACATTTACAAGACACATGCATGCAAATAGAATGCAACAATACTCGCGAAGTTGGGCTACGCCAGGCTCGTTATGAGCAGAAGCTCGGGAAGAGATGACGAGAACAGCGAAGAGAAGGACGAGAATAAGTAACATCTTGAAGTGAGCCATTTTACCTCAAGAGTGTAGATCATTAGTATAGGAAATTTTGCTTAAAGATTTGGTGAGAAGCGTGAATGTCTTCATAATTTACTGACCATTGGTTTGGTAGAAATTAAAATCAAGATTTTAATCTAAGTCGAAGTCAACAATTAATTTTAACCATATTTTTTGTGGGACCTATAACTTTTCAACCACACATTTCATCAACTTTTATCACAATGTGCTAAAAATTTGATTTTAATCCCCACGAATTAGGAGCTAAAATATTGCTGACTATTTCAAGCTAGAGTCAAAATCTTACAACATAAAACAATTTTCTTAAATCCACGATGTTAAACCCAGCAGATACACCATCCATGAGCTAAGGTCTTGTCCCCGACCATGTGGTACAATCCAAGAGGCTTGCGAGATGCCAAATAAAATAGCAATTGGAGAATCTGAAATCAAGCAATTTGTGCATCTTCATGCATTTGGAAAGGGATCTACAGTTCATTTAGGTTTATATTCTCCCTCGGAAAATAAATTATTCACAATTAATGAAGCGACATCACGAGCATCATTTTCTTTGAATAGTATGCTAAATTGGCGTCTTTTCCCAATGTTGACTATTTTGAACCACTGTATCTAAAAGTTTACGAAAAATGTAAACTTAGTTATTTAAATTATCTTCAACATGTCCCTTTATGCAAGCAAGATTCTTACAAAAATTACCTTCAGATCCAGATACAATGGTCAAGGTATTTCAAAATTAATTTAGAGTAACAATTTTATGAAATCCCATAGTTAATGTTATTAGATATTATATTTTTAAACCTAACTGAATGTGATAGATTTTGCGCTTGGGAGTATTTTTGATAGATTTTGGCAATTCAAATTTAATAATTCTATTATGTTTTGGATTTTCAGATTGGTGAATATTGTTTAATTTAAGCTTTCCTTTTGCCATTTTCTTAGGTTGTGTTGAGTGTATTTGATCATGGATATGTTTGTAGGTTGTATTGAGGATTAGGCCAGTTAATGGCCTCGGAAATGGAGATGGAATGGTTAAGAAAGTTTCTGAGGACTCAGTATCTGTTGGTGACAGAACGT